GCTTTGTTCATAAGCCTTTTCTATACAGAGTGGTTTCTAAAAGCAGAGTTAAGTTCTTTGGCACCAACACAGGTATACAGCCTTTTAATATTTTATTAATAAGTTAGAAAGCTCAATATTGGTTAAAGTGATTCAAAATGTTAATTAATGTTATTTATTAGGATATAAAAGCTTATTGGCAAATGAAAAGGTTTGAGGAATGGAATCTACTTGGCTCTCGAGCTGTTGCTAACTCTATTCTCAGACATACTTGGTATCTGGATCCAACTTTAGTAGTTTTTGCCCTAGCAAATAAAGAATGTAGGGAACGTGGTGATATGGCCAAAAAACTATATAGTTTACAAAGATGTCCAAGTGAAAGTTTTCCTTTGGAACGCCAGGTAATGGACCAAGCTATATTGAATAGCCTCAACTTCAGTAAAGATGAGCCCCCTAGTTTGACTCCACTAGTAACAGAAAAGTCGTGGCTTGTTTTTGACATGCTTAGGCATGGAAAAGCAGAAACTCAATGGATGAAGACTCCACCAGAAGTTTGGAAATTTAATGATTATTATCTAGAATTTAGAGCAACAGTTAAGGGACTTGATGTTGTTAATGACTGCTCTGAGAGGGCAGTTAAGTTAGTTCAAGACCTAATAAACAGAGCATATTCTGAGGAGAAAAGGCAGGACACATTTCTATTTACAAATAGTTATAAGAAAAACAGAAAAGGCAGGAAAAAAACAGATTACGAAAAAGCCGCAAATAAAGACTAGTTTCATTTTTTTGTTTATAACAATTTTTCAAGAAAGAATAGAGAGGATCATAACTTCACTAGGATTTCTGTATTTTAATATAAAAGAAACTTTACTACTGATTTAAAATCTTTTACAGTTTTATACTTTTATTTTTTTTTAAGTTTGAGAACAAACCGTATGGTTTTAACTGTTGATTACAAAAAATCTTCATTCCCTGTCCAGGCCCTCCCTTTAATATATTTCTCAAAGTAACCCCTGAAACTGATATAAATGAGAAA